CACAGGTATCTTTTTCTTTTAGTGTCGAAATGATATGTGGTTTGCAATTCCTATACAATTATATAATAATTTAGATTATATAAAATTTGAAAAGGATATCTATTGGAGAATTTCTTTTAGTCTTCAAGAAAATGAAATTCTTCGAAAATATGGCAACATAAAGACAGTTATACGTCAAATGAAGGTTTCACAAATTGAGTATTTTAATTTTGGTAGTGTTGATTATTTTTATAGTTTTTGCCTGTTTTTAGAAATTTAGAGACATACAAGGATTGAAAAATATAGCAAGTTATTACATAGAAAACTTGTTTTTGAACAAAGAGACAGATATAAATATGGATAAAATATCTAGGACGTTACTACTTTTTAAGGTAATATATTTAAAATGAATACACGTATAAAATTTATAAAGCATTACATATATCAATATGAATTTTCAGATGCTTGAAGAACTATATTATGCTTGTGAACGGCAAGAGATAAAATGGTTTTGGAATGAAAAATATAATTTATTATCAAAGATAGGAAAAAGCAATCTATATAACATATCTCAACGCTTAAAAAATATCATAAATGATATTAAAAACAATTTCATGGATCAATTCATAATAGCTAAATATATTTGTAAGTTAGATTAGATAAAATTAAATAATAGTTAAGTACATATATTTTAAATAGAAATTTTTATTGTTTTTTTTATCCCAGCTTTTGTTCTATATATAATAGCTATTGTAAATGATTATGTTGATTTATTTGCATTGGTTATAATCGTATTATTTTTTTTAAATTACAGTAAGTCAAAACGAAGTTAAAGAATTAGAAGAAAGAATACAAAATAATAATGCATACCAAGAAAAACAAGAAAATAATGTAACATGTAATATAATGTGATTTTATAAATCGATATTATAAATATTAATAATATTATAATATTATATATATTATAAATATTAATATTTAATATTAAAAATCCGATTTATGAATATTGTAGGTATAATATATTTTGTATATATTTTACAAATTCATGTTCATATATAATAATACCCGCTTTAATGTCACGTTTCCCCCTTTAATCACAATTTCGAATCGAGTTTTGAGTGTACCAACTAACTTAGTTGATGAGCTAAAGTGTCAAACAAAACTTATATCGATTGTTTTGGGTACTCACATTCATTCTTCTCCTTCTTTCGATTGAATTCGGGAAAGTCAACTTTCACATTAGTACCAAGATACGATCATGAAAGTGAACAGTAAAGTGGGCACTATTGTAGATAAATTTTTAAATATTTATAATCAAATTTATAATATTTCATCATCACATTTACAATTTTTGCTATATTTACTTAAATTTACCTTTTTGATTTTTTTTTTTTAAAGATAAAATATACCTTATTATAGGTTAAAATTTATTAATATACTTTCCACGAATTATGTACCAATTGACTGTACCAATTTTGGTTTAAATGTCATAAATAATTCATATTTAGATTAAATAAAAGAATATTGTTTTATAAATTAATTTCAATTAGTCTCTAGAGTTCATACTTTTTACACATATTTCCTTCACGTAAGACTTTAATGTTTCACGTTTTGTATAATATATTTATGTTTAATTGAAAAAATAAATATACTAAGGAAGATATTAATAAAAAAGTTACTAATATGATGTATCATTAATGTTATTTTCTAATATGATTAATTAAAGGTACTGCCTCATTATCAGCCCATTCAACAAAGAATTTTCCTAATTGTGTAGCACAGCGTATCATAGTAAGACAATCTCCTTCTGCAGTGTGAGCATTTTCAGAAACAGTACCAAAGATATGTCGACAAACACTAGTCAATTTAAAATTAGTCGGTTGACTATTTGTAAAATCTAATTTTCTCCTTACAATATTTCTTTTTTTTTTCTGAAAATTTTTATCACAATGTTGTAATTTTATAATTTTATCCTCAGGTGTTTTTTCATTAATTTCCATCATTTTATAGCTATTACTTTGTGGAGTATGAAGTACATTATCAGAATGAGATGTAGCTTTTTCATTGTTACGAGAAGAAAGGCTATTTTTATTAGAATCATCAAGATTTTTATTCATAATAGAATCTAACGCGTCAGATAAAATTTCATCATAACCATCATTTAATAAAATACTAACTTCAGTAGAAGATAAGCTAGAAATAGAACTTTCTGTAGTATTCACATCTTCTATTGGATCTTGCTTATGTAAGAAAAAATCTTTGATTAAATATAACATGTCAATACTCAAAATATCTTCGCTGAAAACCTTTAAACAAAAAATTTAGATTATTTATGAATTTATAAAATCGTGCTATGAAACAAATTTATAAATACCTTATTAATATTTTGAAATTCTGATAAAAAGATTGGATAATCAAAATTATTTCCATTGTAAGCTACAAAACAAGATGGTGTCATTTGTCGATTTATAAAGTTTATCACTAAATTATATATTTCGCTGTTAAAATATTGTATTCCTTCTAAATTTTCATTTGATAAACCTATAATAATGTAAGTTTTATTTATATAAAAGTTATAAGATTATAGGTATTCACATAGAATAGCAATTGTTTACTAAAAATAATTAAATTTTAGATACCTGTCAATGCGTGAATCTTTTTAGAAATATGTACATTTGGATGTATTGGTAAAACAAGTTTCTGTAAAACTCTTGGTAAAATATCTGTACTATTACATATAGCAGATCTTGATACTGCAATTAATGACATTTCTGTGATATGTGGCATACAATTTTGTGTAATTAATCCAGTTGTTTCCAAATCAAGAAATATAAATGTTCGTATCATTTTTAAAAATGTTAATAATGTCAAACTGACATGTGCGATTGTATTTCTATTATGAAAACATAGTTTATATTATTAACTATAGGATTAATAATTCAGCATTTAATTTATAATACAACAATAAAAAGCTATTTGAGTTCAAACCTTTTAAATTACACATGCATTAAAATGCAACTATGTTAATTATAATGTTAATAATACGTTTAGGTTTCAAATTTGTGTATGTAACAATATTAAAAAAAAAAAACTTTATATTGTATATAATTATTTTACACTATTAAGGTTATGAGAGTCTGAATATTATTTTTTATTAAATATATGTCTTGCTTGAATATAATTCTTTGTATTTTTCATATATATAATATTAATTTCTCTTCTTTAAGTAGAATATACTATTAGATAATAATTGCATATTACAAATATTAATATAAAAATTTAAACAATTTGGATTATCGGTGACTGAAAGTTAAATGTTTATTATGCACATAAACTTATAACATTCTTCCACAAAAACATTCTTAACAATATGTTATATACAAAATTTGCAATATTATATTATTTCTGTTTAGGCCATCTATCTTTTTTTCAGAGTAGGATCGCAAACTTGTATTCTTATCATCTATATGACGTAAGACGTATGTGCAGATTTTTAAACTAATATTGAAAACTATGTTTTTAACTTGTAATTGTTTATGTTCAATTTAACATATATTGCAATTCATTAACTAAAAATCATAAATTAATTAAACTTATCTTTAATGGTCTAAAAACATATATATACATATGTTTAGTTTCAGTTTTTGTAAAAATATAAGAGCTCTCTCTTCTGGAAATAACATTGAATTAATGGTTGTGAGTGGTTAAAAATTGTTGTTTTATTATTGCTAATATAAAACCTAGTTTTTTAATAATGCAAATTGTATAGTTAAGTTAAATACGTGTTATGATACGTTATTCACGATGTCTACGGATTTAATGAATATTGATGGCAATATAAAAAGGGTACAGAAAGAAACTCTAACACCATACAAAATAGCAACCGTCATTTTGATCAAAGAATATTGCAATGACACAACAAAAGGTAATTCAATATTTTTATAAACGTGACAAAATAAATCTATAAATATTACATTGCGTATTATAAATAGTGTATTGTCATGTTACTAAACGTGAAAATGTACTTTGGTATTTACTATTGAATAAAAATTGCAAGAATAAGATATAATATTTTATGAATGAAAAATTTTTGATTACAGCGATTGTTGAAAGACGTGATTTTTGTTTAGTTGCATTGAAATTGATTCAGGTAAGCATTTTTCATTAGTAAACTGATTTAATTTATTTAAATACAATATTTTTTTATACATGTAACGAAATAAAATATTTCATTATTAAGTTACTTAAAATGTGTTAAATGAGAAATATTTCTCTTTGTCCATTTTATTAGTCCCCTGACATGGAGCTTAATACACTCTTGAATATATTATATTCTCCTGAATATATTTTACATCGGTTTGCACATCACATGGAAGTACAATTGAATGTGCTAAGAGGAAAAGGGGTTGAAGGGTTATTAGATTTATTTGATAATGTTGGGCGTCTCATGAAACCAATATTGGATCATTCTCTTTCTCTACCTGCTCTAAATAAAAATTCTGTTCTTGGATTATATATAAGAAGAGTTATAATTTTTTTTGAGAAATTACCTTTTGATCAAGTTGTAGCTCTTTATGAAGCTTTGAAAAAATACCTTGATAAAAGAATTAGTACCTTTGATGGTTCTGATATATCTACAGGTTCTAAAACTGAAGATTCATATTCAAATGAGTATGTATTTATTACATTTAGAAATTGTAATTTTATTGCATATAGTTTTCTATTATAATCTTGTTATGATTTCTTTATACTTTAATAGGACTAAAACAACTTGGGGTGGAAGACAAGCAGAATTACTTGTTGCGCAACAGGCACATGCACTACAGACAGATGAACATAAAGCAATGTCTCCTGCAGAGTTGCAAGTTCTTGTACGAGAACTTTTAAGTTGTAGTCCTTATTATGCAGAAGCTGTGAGTACCTTGTGGTAAGAATACTTTCTCTGCTTACATCTAAAGAAACACAATTATTTTTCTATATTCGTACCTTTTTATATCTTTTACTATGTTTCAGCATTATTTAAGTTATTTAAACTGTCTACGAGTTAATGAATACTGTGGTGCTATAGATAGTCTTTATCATTGCTTTGATAGATTAGCACCTTTAGAAAACCGTTCAGCGCCTGAAGATAGATCTCGTATTTTCAGATATGCAGCTTTAAATTTAGCAGTTTTACATGCTCAATTTAATCATAAGTGCGTTTTTTTCCTTATAAATTTACAGACTCATATATATGTTAATTGCTAGGCAAAATTTATATCGGCTACTTTTTTTTTTTGTTTAAGAGAAGTAGCGCAGGCTGCTTTGAAAGAAGCTATTATGATGGCTCAAGAAGCAGGCGACAATGTGTGTTTACAATTAGCACATGCTTGGATGTATCATTTAACTACTAAACAAAAGTAAGTTAAGGTTTTTTAATATAAATTGTTATATATTAATTATTATATTCGTACCATATTTTAGAGGACCTCTTATAGAGAGATCAGTTGGTAAAGCAAGTATGTTAGGAATAACTCACACAACTGGATTAGGTCTTATTGCATATGCTCATAATTCTGCTTTAGAAGCTAAGAATCCATCACAAGTATTTGAGGTATAAATATTTAATTCAGTTGTGTTTAATATATGTTCATTGCTTATTCAGGATTAAATCGTTTTGAATGTTTAATCACAGACACTGATGAAATCTGATGTTTTAAATTGTCAACATTCCATGATAGACTTAATGTCAATGACATATGCGGAAAAGTCTGCACTATGGGCATATTACGGTAAGACGGAGATGTCTTCGGTTTGCGCACAACTTTTGCTTTTACACAATACAGGGGACAAAAAGCAGCATATGTTTAATGGACCATCTACTTGTCAGGCTGTTGTTAATATTGCAAATATTTTAGTAGAGTTTGGAGAATATTTTTTAGTCGATGTTGTGCTTGCTCATGCTAAAGAGAGATTTCCTAATGAACCATGTAATAAGGTATCATCTATGAATTAATATTTAATTAAATGAATTATATATATATATTGATTGTCACTTTGTATATTTGCTTTTTAGATATGGATGTTAAGTGAACAACTTTATGTATTCACACAATTAATGAGGCAAGAAAAGTGGGGTGAGGCTGAAGCAATAGCATTAAATATTTCAAGTTTAGATCCTGTGGAATCTAAATTTAGGTATAAATACTTTGAAGCACATATAATTTTGTTATATATTAATATACATTTTTATATTATTTTTAAAAATGTGAATATGTAGATTAGCAGAAGTTTGCTTGGAAAAAGGAGACTATCTGAAAGGCTTAGATTGCATTGACATTATTGAGAAAGATGAACAAATAACACCTCAAAATAAAATAAGATCTATGATTCTTTTAAGTCAAATAATGTGTGCTTCTGTTTCATCAGAAAGTGGAATTGTTGGAGTTAATTCATTGGTACTACTAAATACAGCCCTAGATTTTACAATAAAAAATCATTTATCTTATTATAAATCAGTAATAAAAATGCATCTTGCAAACATACAGGTAACTAAATTAGTTATATTGACATTATTGATTGTATTATAAATATTAAATAGTATATATATATTTTTTTTATATTTCAGTTAATAATGGGTATGCCAACTTTAGCATTAAATTTGGTAGAAGAAGCAATTATTCAAATTTTAGCACATGGTGGATATTATGATCAGGGTAGAGCATTTGTTTTATACTCGAAATGTTTAGCTGCTACTGCTCCGACATGTGACAAGGCAAGAAAGGAAGTAATTTTAAAAGCTATTAAAGCGCTTTCAAAAGCGAAGAATTATTTTACAAAAATCGAAGCATATGGAAGATTGAGAACCACATTGTGTTTAGAATCATTACTATATCACGAGATTGATCTTAAGACTGAACGAAATCAGTGTGCTTTCGAATTTCGTCAACTGAATCAACAACTTCCTACAAAATTGGATAATTTATCTTTATATTAAAAGCAGGAAAGCAAAAGAAAAAATAAATATATGAAATTGAATGACTCCTATTTTTCGTATTAATTACTATAAAATGTGCATGACTATAGTTGTGAATTATATGTATATCATGACTATATATTTTAAGATAATAAATATTTATAAAATTATTATAAAATTTACATGAAATGTCCCGAGAATAACACTGTCAAACAAATTTTAACTTTTCTTCGAATTTGTAATATCCATTGGATGATTTTTGTTGATTTCACCTTCCTGAACGCAAATTTATAACTAAACTTACATGAAATAAAATTAACTGATATGTGAAGTCAGACTGGAAAAGAAAGTAAGAAAGATTGTAATGTATGACAGATTGAATGCGATATGTAGAAAATTAAATCTAAGTTCTTACACAGAAAAATGTTATACGCAATATGTAGTAAAAACAAAGAACATGCTAATTTGTCATGTACCGGATAAAGAAACGAATGCTGATTGTTTAACTAAACCACTGAGTGGTCCAAATTTGTTAAAAAATGTAGAAACCTGTATGAGGATATTAAAAGAATAAAAAGTTGGAAGGAAAATGTGTTATACTTATGTCGTTTTATTGTTTTGTTTCTCCCGCCAATGCGTCACGTGGTTTTTCATTCGGCAATTTCGATCAGCGCCATCTATTGTTTGGCTCCAAATGCTCCAAAAGTGATAGGAATATAGGATAGGCAAGGAGGTCGTCGACGAGCTGGTCACGTGGTAGACAAGGACAGAGATGGAATAGAAAAGGATAGAATGGCTCCGGCAGTGAAGAATTATTAATTACTCAATTTCCGTAAACAATTTGTGAACTTTTATAATTTCGTTGCAAAGCTGGAACTTCAGGCTACATTCCTATATAATATTCGTAAAGAATTTAGCTCTAAATTGTTAGTTATTAATTTTTGTTTTATGGCGTCTATGATTTCGTAACGGCGACCATCACGACCTTCCGTGAAAATATTTATTACTAAACGAAACTAGAAGCAAAATGTGATCAAAAGTTATATGAGAAGATTCGCAAGAACATTGTCTTTCTAACGAGTGCATAAAGTTTCATAAATTAATTGCGTAGAGGATAGTAATTAACGAAAAACCAATGGCGTCGTCGACAATAATTCAATCATTCCGTAGAATAATAATTAATAATTAATTAATTAGGAACAAATTTATATCGAGTAATATATGTGAAAGTTTTTGAATGATCTGGCTTTACGATGCAATTATAAAAGTTCACAAATTAATCGCAGAAATTGAGTAATTTGTTAAATTTCCATGAAAATGGGAAAAGAATTGCAAGAAAACGCAGGAAGCATTGTTGTGTCCATGAAGGTGTGCCTGCATCCAGCAAAAGAATGTAAGTTTTTGTAGTAACCTAACCTTAAGTTGTAATTAAATAGTGTAACATATAAGCCATTGTTTTTGTATCTTTTATTAGTGATAGCAGAGCCTGGTTGTAAAATGACAATATTCTGTTGAAGTGAATGGACACGTGCAACAGGATAAAAATATTGGACTCATGGAATATCACCAGCGTAGAGTCACTAGGTGCCACTAATTATTTTTTATGCGAAGAAAATATTGAAACAGTAATGCAAGTATGTAAGGTTTGATATGTCCATTTGATTTTAGGTTGGCTGGCCTTATAACATACAGGATAGACATACTTGATGGAGAAATGAAGATTGAGAAAAAGAAGGTGGATGTGGCAGATAAAAAGGGATTAAAATTAAATTAGGTGATGTTATCTTGTATCAACATGATATGGTGAAAGGTACGTTGTGATCCTGATCTGAATAAATATTGATATCAGTGATCAAAGCCACTGACGAACGCTAATGTGTTAAATTTCAGAAAGTTGGAGCTAAATTGTATAAAGAAAAGGGAAAAGTTCAAGTGAAAGCGGTGAGAACAGGAAATACATATTATGTAAAATCAAGAAACAGAAAAGAGGCAGCATATCTATGAACAGAGAAAGATGTGTGACATCGATGATTGGGTCATGTAAATATGAGAACCATTGAAGAGATGGAAAATGAACAATTGGTAATAGTTATAAAAGTTAAAGATAAATTGAATATATGGAGAACCATTTAAAGTGAGACACATTTAAAAGTAAAATGAATTCGTTTTTTATTCAAAAATAATTATTCGATATATGTGTTTTAGGACGATTTTCGTACAAGATTACGTTCCTGTGGACGAGGTTTAATTGCTGGTGGGTATGCTGGAGAAGATGACAATGGTTTCCAATTTTTCTTTACTCTTGGTTCTACATCAGAATTGCAGAATAAACATACAATCTTTGGTAAGGTTACTGGAGAAACTATATATAACATGCTTAAACTTGAAAAAGCACCTGTAGATGAGGTAAATTTAATGTTCACAAGAAAATATGTCCAGAAATGATATAAATATCATAATTCCTCTTCTTTGTAGAATGATAGACTACTGTATCCCCCAAGATTGTTAAAATCTATAATATTGAACAAACCATTTTCTGTTATTATATCCAGAACAATAGTACAGAAAAGTGAAGAAGTAAAGGACAGTTCAAAAACTAAAACAGCAGTGGTAAAGTAAAAATCATATGTTTGCAGAATTTAGCCCTGGTAGTATTATTCCTTCAAATGCAAAATTTTGTTACGGAGATTTCAATGTTTTATCATTTGGTGAAAAAGCAGAGGAAGATGAAGAAGAATCTGTGATATTAAATAAAATTTAAATGATTCAAAATTAAGCTCACAACCAGCTGTTGAACCACCTGAACTTGCAATTAAAAGAAGGAAGGAAGACCGCAGTAGTGATTAGGAAAGTGTCGACAAAGTAAAAACTCAAGAAGAATTAGAAGTTATAAAGAAAGAGAGTTAATTAATTGTTTACATTATAACTATGTCATAGAAAGTAGGAATTTTTAGTAACTGTCTTATACTTATATTTTCAGTGCAATGAAGGAAAGGGTAAAAAATAAATTGGTGGATGCAAAGAAGAAACCGAAGATAGTAGAAAATTATAAAATAGATTATGCTGAAGATGATAAAGATATAATGGAAAATGAATAGAGAATAAATGACTCCTTATAAGGTTCAGCACGAAAGAAAACCGAGGAGATGCACGATAAGAGAGATAAATGCAAGATAAATCAATATCTAGAATTATTAGGATAAGTCATGTATTTGAATAGAATTATTTGCGGTAGGGTGTATATGTCGATAAATATTGTTACATATATATATTGTCATTATAATGATAATTAGTACGTGATATGTATTATGAAACATCTTTTTCTCGCAACGGTGCGTGACGGACATCTATTCAGATTCTAATGTTTATATGGCATTGTTTATTATGTCGTTAACAATTAACGTGTATATGTGAAACTTTTAAAGTGAATAAGAAGTATCTAAGCATATAACCATCGTAGTTTCATTTTCTTTTTACCAATAATAAAATCATTCGCCTTCATCTGTGACTTCATGTTCGTCTATAATTAACTTATCAACTTTTATAATTGTATCGTAAAG